TTGAGTGATTCCGAGGTATAACCAGGTGAAACCTATACCATCTTCTAGAGGACACTTTGGGGCATAGGAAATGGAAATGTACAACTTTTTTTAATAGGACTGAACTTTGAAATCGGCTCTTAAACGTGAGTGAGCTCGAATTTGAAAAACTACGTTTTTCTAAACATTACCCGCTGTATTAATTTGAGCATACAATCAAAAATTCTGATTTTTTGCACACTTATACTTGAAACATGAGCGCTTCTAATGATAGTTCAGAAATTTCGAAAAGGCTCAAGGTTTTTTTGTTAAAAAGTTAGGAATATAGTATTATCAAAATCGTGCATCTAAAACTTCACCCTGCGGCGAGCAATGTGTATTATTGAAAATTTCTATACATATATATCGAATCGAATGTAGTAAAAACATTGACGAAGTTTTTAAAAAAAAATTGAGGCGCTAACTTTAACGGTTATAGAAATATAATTTTTTATCCGGGAGCTTTGAAATGCGCTCTGATGCTGAAAGCGGCTAGCGGCTACCATTTTGGAAAACATCTGCGTTAGTGCCTTAGCGTTACATCTAGAAATAAAATTTAAAAAATCTATAAATATAAAGTAAGTGATTGAATCGTTTTTTATGAAGTTTACTTTAAACATTTTCTTCTTCGTCATCCTCATACAAATCAGGAACAATATCTTGACAACTATTGCAGGAACAACCGCTGCAGCATGTTAAACCCTCTTTCAAGCAGACACATTTATTATTTTGATATAATTTATCTTCGCAGAAGATGTTCATAAGTTGCCTTATATCCGTTGGTATGGGATCAGCAGTCATCAATTGTGGTCAATTGATACCTCAATTCATCGAGGGTTTTTATAACCTCGTTTTATTTCTGAAGAGGGCTAATGCAAATTTGGTGGCAATATAAACAGCTTCGCTTGTAGACACAGAGTTCAGTTTTGATAACTCATTGAAGGCTCCAAGATTTTTAGAAAATACATTTTTTGCCGATCTTAAACATTGCATTTGTGGTATCGCATCCTGTTGACACATGCAACGCTGGTAAACATTTACATACTCCATTTTCCAGTTTCTGCACTATTTATTAGAATGGTCCGTTTTTTATTCCCTTGTCCTAATTCCATAAAAAGGTAGATTTCTTCCAAAGAACTTATTACTTCAATAAATTCAGAATAGTGGTAAATAAGTAATACCAGAACATTTGTATCTACAGACTTAACCAACACTTTTTTTTGATGAAGTATCTGATATTCATATAAGACGTGGATGATAAATCGTGCATCAGCCTCATCATGATTCGATTTCAAATCTTTCAATCCGGTTACAGGATTACACAATCCTTGTTGACAGAAAAGTACAACTGTCGATTTTCAAAACCACCAGCGATGATCAGAGTTTCTTCTATTTGTCAGCTAAATGTTCCAACATATAGCCAGTTACAAATTTCAATAGGAATTCTTTATTTTCTGACAATTTTGAAAAATTCCGAAACTTCATCACTTTTCTCTTTCCAGAAACTTCATACGCATACGCATCTGCGAAGTTACTTCTTCTGCGTCTTTCCAAAGACTTAACGGATTCATCTATCAAAAACCTCCGTTATCCTCAGTGCTTCATACCTTCGACCAAGTGAAAGAATTTGCTTCAGAAAAATAGATGCGAGTTCATTAAAAGTTAAATTGAGTTGAGTGAGAATGCTTTATCATTTAGTCCTTGAATAAGTACCATGCCATCTATTATAAGTGAATTGAAGGGGGTGTGACCCAAAAATGAAGTTTTAGTGCGAAAAAATCCAAAAACAAATATTTGAACCGTTCTCGGGTAAGGGTGGTATAAAGTGACAAACGCCTAGGCTGTGACGTCACACCGGCTTCGGAGGCACAGTTAAAATGTGTTTAAAATTTTCCAAGAAAAAAGTCAACGATCTCACTTAAAGCAAATTGCAACCACGTAAAGTATAGGGCACGGTTCAACCACTGAACAAACAGAAGGGTATGATTTCGGCGGTTAGCCGGTGTGCCGTCACAAGTTCTCGCAAAATTTATCTTCATGAAGAATTTTCTCGGATAATATTTTGAATTATAGACTGCGGTTTTCACGAGAGATCTTAGATTTTTTTTCTTGATTGAAGTAGCTTAAGTTGCTTTTTTTGGTCACACCCATCAGTTCGAGGAGAAGCAACTGTTGAATATGGTTGAAACTTTGATACTAAATCAGACTTAGCTGTTTTTCGCATACGAACGCACAAAACTGGAAAAGTCAAAAAATGCACCTCTCGGTGAATGCACGAACAATTTCGTCGCGACGCGGTTCAAGATGGGCTGAGCGCACTCCAGGGCTCTTGAATAAAAATTTATATTTCTATAACTGTTAAAGTTAGCGCCCTAATTTTTTTTTTAAAAACTTCCTCAATGTTTTTACTACATTTGATTCGATATATATGTAGATATAGAAATTTTCAATAATACACATTGCTCGCCGCAGGGTGAAGTTTTAGATGCACGATTTTGATAATTCTATATTCCTAACTTTTTAACAAAAAAACCTTGAACCTTTTCGAACTTCCTGAACTGTCATTAGAAGCGCTCATGTTTCAAGTATAAGTATGCAAAAAATCAGAATTTTAGATTGTATGCTTAAATTAATACAGCGGGTAATGTTTAGAAAAACGTAGTTTTCCAAATTCGAGCTCAGTCACGTTTAAGGCCGATTTAAAAGTTCAGTCCTATTGAAAAAAGTTGTACATTCCCATTTCCTATGCCCCAAAATGTCCTCTACAAGATGATATAGGTTCCATCTGGTTATACCTCGGAATCACGCAGCCTCAGAAAACAGCGAGTTAGAGCAGTGATTTTATTCCACTAATATGTCAGGACTTGCCAATAGCATACGCATCACGTACACTGAAAAATTCGTAACAAAACTACTCTACCATCGAGAAGAAATAATTGTGCCTAGTGTTGCCGACAAAATATTTTAGGCAATACCTGTACGGACGCAAGTTTAACATCATAACAGACCATATACCCTTACAATGGCTGTTCAACTATAAAGATCCCACTTCAAAATTAGTACGATGGCGAATAAAATTACAAGAATTCGACTACCAAATAACATATAAAAAAAGAAAACTTAACACAAATGTTCAAGCGGTAAGTCGCATTGAGTACACAAAAGACGCCGCCAACATCTCAAGTTTAGTCTCGTACCTACATCGAAGAATTTAATAAGCAACTTGAGCAAGAAAGCACCTCATCTACGAACAACGAAAATATAATTCCCAACGAAGATAACTTAGACCTAATTTCAACAATAGCACAACCCAACCTATACTATTTCCCGACCTTCCAAATGTACCTGAATTATTGCATTCCCTAAATTTAGGTACACACTTGAAAAACATAAAATTGAACAATCTCCACCAACTTGCTAACGAGATCGTAGAAAACCGTTTGACATTTAGTGAAATCAGAAATCAGAAGACTACCCAGTTTGGGAACTATTCTGATTTATGCTATGACCTTGCTGGGTGTGCTGTTCTTTCCTATAAGAAACTAGCACCGAAGTTCAAGAACCGAGGAAGGGACAACCACCCTGAAGAAGAAGCCCAACCAAACTAACTTTTCCGCCTAGCATTAACTTGCATCCTAAGAAGGGTGGAGTAATGTCAGCTCTATTTGCTGACCATACACATAATCTGCTTAATTCGCTTCTCTATATTATAAATATCGCTGCCGCCTAGAATAGTTAGTCAGTTGAATTATAATTAATATATTTCTTATTTTTAACTTTTGTAACGAAAGTACTGTATTGTAAATTTGTGAATAAATTATTTTTTAAAAACTCGTTATCACCTCACGGACTGATAACTCACGTGTTGAAATTTTTGTAGTTAAACCTGATACACCGTGTATAATTATTTGTGCTAGGCAGACAACAGTAGATTCTTCAACAATGTTAATTTAAAGTATTTGAGAACAGATAATCATTATTTAATTTGTTGTATAACTGTCGAATCTCGTTTTTGAACTGTGTAAAATGTGGTCTTGTCCTTTACTTTTTATCAAGCTGGCTCTTTTATAAACTTGACGTAGTAAGAAAGAACATTTTAAGTTTATCTCAGGGGTAATCCCCCATTAATTCATCATTTTTCCAAAAAGTTACAAAGTTTTTCCTGACTTTCAGGTACCATTGATGATGGCCTGAGGCCAAAAGCGCGTTGCAATGAAATTTAATAAAAATTATTTATTTATTTATTAAGATACCTACAGCAATAGCCAATCCCAGATATCAACTAAACATAAATGTAACAATACAATACAATATAATAAAACTTAATAATAAAATACATTTAGTTTGCGCTCTTAAGTTTGGCTTCGATTAATCTTTTAAATGTGTTTTAGCTAGAGTGGAATCAATATCAATGTATAAAGCATCGTTAGAAAAGTGACACATTCGACGATATATCTTTTAACTATGCAGCAAAAAAATCATTTTTTGTTTTTGGCCCACAGTCATTGACCGATTGGCACTAGGTAATAATAGGAAGCCTTTCAACCATTTATCACCTACGACAGTTATTTATACCTGTCACTGGAGGCGTGTTTACGCAAAACCTGTCATTTAACGGAGCATCAGCGAATAAGTTTTGTTACTTATTGACGTCAAATGAAAAGAGATGGAGCTAAGCATGTTACTCGGATGACAGTCGAGCACCCTGCATCAACTGTGCCTGGTTGTCAGATTTGCAAGCAGGTTTAAATATTTCTTTATTTTTCAGCGTAGGTATACAACAAATTAACATTGCAATAAATATTAAAATATGCGACTTAGTGTGTTTAAACAATATTTAACATTTTTGATGAGTATGGTTCATGCTATGTTATTATTAGCGATATAAATATTATTATTTTCTTCACACCCATCAAATTTTATCAAATAATTTGACAACATCGCTCGCATTTCTTTCATTGCCTCAGACTCTTCCCACACCATTCAGACTGTCTGTCTATAATTCCCACTTTCCCACCAGTGTAAAATTTACTCCTTCCTAGAACCCAAGCTGCGCGCGAACGCCTGCTATGGAATAACTCTAAACTCTGGCTTAACTAGTCACATTCAGTTTCCTCAGTTACTGTAGGTACTTGTTTGAGTTTGGCACACCTCCCGGTAGTACTTAAATCAAATCAGCCAAGCTAGGTATTTCATTAACTTTTGTGACTTTGTGCTTATTTTTAACATGTCGATGTTCTGCCGATTTATTGTGATACTTTCACTATTGGGTGAGTAAGGCTTTTTCTTTGAATATTTTTATGTTTTTTTTTATTGATTTACTAGTAAGACTTTTTCTTTGAATATTTTTATCTTTTTTTTTTATTGGTTTACGAGCATAAAAAATATTTGTAATTGTAACAATAATTCCAATTGAATAAGTCAAATTATTTTATTGTATTTTCTCTACAATTGGAAAAAACTAAATTCAATTCATGTAGGTAGGTGCTTTTCTTGCATAACCTGAAGTAAAACTAAGGGCCATATTCTCCGTAGTTCATAAAGCCTGGCTTAGTGGAAACGCTTGGTTTTTTGTGTGACAAAGCCGAGCTTTTCCACTAAGCCACGCTTTATGAACTACGGAGAATATGGCCCTAAGCATTTATTTTTCTAAGCTTCCAATTTTGATATTCTATTTGATATTTACATGGAAACCTACAGCCGATTAAAAATCACAATCAACTAATTATTGGGTTCTGTGAAGTAGGCAGGCACACTTGAAGCACAAAAGTTAAATTTTGCGTAATTGTTTAGTGCTTCGTTAGTGCTTCAATGTGCTTCAATCCCCAAATTAGCAACTCTTATATTTTCAGAGATATTTCGGTTTTTAGAAATCGCCTGCTCACCTCACATTCAGCAGGAACATGGAAAGCACCAACGTTCAGTTACAGATAAATGGTTACTTTATTAGTGCTTCAATGTGCTTCAATCCCTAAATTAGCAGCCGCTATATTTTCAGAGATATTTCGGTTTTCAGAAATCGCCTGCTTACTTCACCGAAATATCTTCGAAAAGTTGCTAATTGGGGATTGAAGCACATTGAAGCACTAACCATTTATCTGTAACTGAACGTTGGTGCTTCCCTTGCTCCTGCTAGGTGTGAAGTAAGCAGGCGATTTCAAAAAAACGATAAATCTCCGACAATACAAGAGTTGCTAAATTGGAGATTGAAGCACTAACGAAGCACTAAACGATTACGTTAAATTTAACTTCTGTGCTTCAAGTGTTCCTGCCTACTTCACAGAGCCTTAATTATTGTTTTCCTTGTCGGCAAACGAAAAACTAAGTAAATATTTTCTCAGATGCTGCCTGTTTTCAAGCATCCTACACAGATGAAACCAACAAAATTTTGGAAGATTTTAATGAAGGTTCTCTCGAAATCAAGAATACTGAAAAAAATCACGCAGATGCTCCAGAAATATTGGTAGCAAATTATAACGGAACTTCCATTGAAATTTCGGAAGATTTTAATGAAACTTCTCTCGAAACCGAAAATTCTGAAAAAAATCACACGGAAGCTCCGGGAGTATTTGTAGAAACTTCTAACGGCACTTCCATCGAAATTTTGGAAGATTTCAATCAAACATCTCTCGAAAACAAGGATGCTGAAAAAAATCAAACAGATGCTCCGGAAATATTCGAAGAAAATTATAACACATCTTCTATTGAAACTGGAACTGCTAAAAACAAATACAAACAAGATCCAGACAAATTTGATTTTAATCAAACTTCTTCTGTTACTAAGACGGGTGAAAAAAAGTACAGAAACAGATGTAAAATGCAAAATATGTCAAAGGTAACTTGTTTATATATTTTCGACTCAAAAATATGTATAATGTACCTATATTATTATAGGTTCAACATGATGCTTTCAATCAATGCATTTCCCTCTACATAAACGGATCAGAACTACAAACCGAGCTAGAAGATTCCAGGAAAACAGGATCTATGAAAATGGTGTTTGAAAAACAATGCGGAAAATGGCCTCTCATCAATAAATGTGTTGAAAATGCTAAGTTAAGGATCAAAAGATGTTTGACATATAGCGATGAAAAATTGTATAACCAGACAATCGATATCGTTAAAAACTTGCAGGGATTTTTGTGCTCCATTCACGATGGATTCATGTTAAGACGTAAGTTGATTTTTTTTTATTTTTAAACTAAATTTAGAAATCTGATTTTTAACTCGTATTTGTCAATCACTAAGTGAATTTTAATCCTATTTCTAATTTAGTTGAAAATTCATCAGAAATATAAATTATTTAGAAATTTTCAGTGAAAAAAAAAAGCAGAATACACAAACCAGTATCGCCCCTCTACTCTAATATAACTTTATTTTAATTTAAAGCTGCCTAAATTTGAGATGAATTATGTAGTTCACAAAAATTTCTAGAACCATTGAAATTTTTGTAGTTCGATTTTTTTCAAACTCGCTAATTTTCAGAGTTTGTGGTTGAAGGAGGAGTACAATGCGTACAAGAACAATATCAAGGCATGAAAAATTGTTACAATGAAACTGAACAAGTCAATTTCCCAGAAACCGGCGATTTTTTAACAGCAACTTTATCAATGATTCTGTTCACATCACGTGATTCAAGTTATGATTGCAGGTAATTACTTTTTCACATATTCGAAGACCTATTAATAATTTTTATATTCAATGATTATTTTAGGGAATTTCTCAAAACCCGCCATTGTGTCAACGGAGTTTTGAAGAAATGCCCAAATGGTTCAGCAGCTTCTAGTGTAGATGCTTCTTTTGAACTTGTCAAGAAACAATTAAGTTGTGAAATTGATCCGGAACTTTTGAAAATTATCTGGTATTTTATTGTTTCCTACGTAATTCTTATGTACTTTTATTTTTATTTGATAATCAAACAGAAGTTTGTAGTGACTCGCCTCGAAGCGCCGCCAACAATTTAAAAAATTGACTTATCGCATTTAATAACCATCGTTAATAATTATTGAACTTTAATATGTGTCTTTTAGTACCTATTTAACGTAGCAATAAAATGGGTGACAGGAAATTAATGAATGGGTACATTATTTTTCGGTAATGAAAATTAAAATTCCTACATACCAAAGAATTATATCGCTCTTTCTACTTTTTTTATGTTCTATTGAAAGTGATTGCTAATTTAGCAGGTATAGATAGGAAACATACTTCAACAAATAATAGCTCTATTGTTTTCATTACTCATTTTTTTTTCCATTACTCATCTGATAACGCTGAAACTTTGTTAGGAATAAGTTATAGTTTTAGATCAGTATTCCTTTGTTTTTGAATAACTTATTGCGTTGGGTCTTTTTTTTCTACTTAATCAGAATTTTGTTGATTAAAGAAAAAGACGACAATACTATTTACGTTTGTTTATATATAATAAAAAAATAAAACTTTCTTTTTGGACTTTTTTTTGGTAGGTACCTATAAAAATTTGTTCGTATTGTCACGGATTCCACCTTCCACCCATCCACCAAAAGCCTAAGAACAACTAAGAGATCATTTATTACATTTCAATTACATAGTTTTATTGTCCTAAAATTCAATTTTATGCAACACAGAAAAATTAATTTATAATATAATAAAAATAAAATAGTTTTGTTTTTGCCTCATATTTGGTTCCCTGGGAGGGGGATGTCTTAATTCCGGCGGGGCTGGGTTGTGTGACTCCCTAATTAGGGGGTTGGTGGAGTTTTGGGCCTTCGTAAAGTGGCTTGTGCATAGGTCTTGGATAAGGTCGTCTAGATTCTGGAGTTGAGTGTCTCTCCTAATCGTAGTAATTCTGACGTACCATGGTGCGTTCAGAAGGCGGTTACGGAGTATCCGGTTTTCCAGAGTCGCCAGGGGTTGGCGGATACTGGGTGTTGCTGTGGCGTACCAGGCAGGCGTTCCATAAGTAAGTAGGTATGGGTCGGATATACAGCTTGTATGTGTTTATTTTCGTTCTGGTATTCAGGCGGCTGTGGCGGTTTAGAAGAGGGTATAGTTGAGTTAGCTGGCCGATGGCCTTGTTTCTGGCATATTTGTTTTGGAGTCTCCAGTTCAGATTGCTGTCATAGATGATGCCTAGGTATTTGATGTTAGTTTTCCAGGGTAGGGCCGCGTTCTTCCACTTTAGCTTCTCTTTTGGCTTGTGTTTCCTTTTAATGATTTACGAAAAATTAAAAATAAACAGTTTTCTCTCTGTAAATCAGAAATAGTTTTGGAAACATATGGTGGGTTTAAAATTTCACCTTTACGCGTAGTTGATTTGGATTGTAAATATAATGATAATAATTTTAACCTCAAATTTGTAATTGTCAAAGAAAAATCCATGCCTATTCCTGGATTAAAATCTTGTATGGATTTAAATATTTTTGCAAAAGTAAATATGGTTGATTTGGACAGAAGTAAAGCAGAATTCTTGAAAAACAACATGGATGTAGGTATTCGATGGTCTATAGGCAAATTTCAAAAAATATGTAAACTGAAATTAAAAAATGGTTCTGAACTCACTGCTAGGCCACCTAGGAGGGTCTCCTTGTCACCCAAAGATTGGTTAAATGAACATTTGAATGATTTGGTTCATCGTGGAATAATTGCAAGGTGCGAAAGTCCCACTGAATAGCTCAGTAACTTAGTCATAGCATAGAAAAAAAGGATAAATCTCTTAGGCTATGTCTAGACTCTAATGGCCGTTTCCACCAACTGTTTTAGGGGAGCCTTAACGATAAGTATTCCCTAAACTGACATTTCTCCATGTAAAAATGTCATTTTATGGAATACTTATCGTTCAGGCTCCCCTAAAATAGTTGGTTGAAACTGCCATAAGGATCTTAATTTTGCTTTAAAAACAAAGAGAGTTTTGTTTAATACCAACATTAGCTGATATAAGTGCTAAATTAAAAAATAAATCATATTTCACAGTTTCGGATTTCAAAGAGGGGTTTTACCAAATTGAGCTTGATGATTATTCAAGTAAGCTTTGCTCTTTTGGAACTCCTTTTGGAGCTTATAGATTTTCACGCTTGCGTTTGGGCTTAATTACGCCCCAGAGTTTTTTCAACAAATAAATAATGATAATTTTGGCGACATTCCTGGAGTAATAGTTTACTTTGACGACTTACTTATAGCAGCTGATAATTTGGAACTTCATGACAAAATTTTGAGTGAAGTTCTAGAGAAAGCTACAAATGTTGGTGTTAAATTTAATAAAAATAAAATTCAATACAGAGTACGAGAAGTTGTTTATTTAGGTAACATATTTGACAAATATGGTATGCGACCGGATGAGGAAAAAATTAAAGCAATTTTGTCGCTTGATTAGCCCAAAAACAAAAAAGAATTACAATGTATGTTGGGTATGATTGATTATCTTAGAAATTACATACAAAATTTGTCAGATGACCCAACTCCATTGCGCGGTTTACTTTAAAAAAATTCTATATTTGTTTGGACTAAAACTCATTCAAATTCGTTCAGATAAATTTAAAAATAAATCAGTTCTCCTCAAGTGCTAGCTAATTTTGACGAAAACGAACCTATAGGTAGTCATAGAAACAGATTCTAGTTAAAATGGGGTTGGTTGTGTTCTCTTACAAAATCACAAACCCGTTGCTTTTGCTTCTCGTGCACCGTGCACTTAGTGACTGTGAGACAAGGTTCAGTCAAATAGAAAAAGAATTTAATGCTATCTTTTTTTCATGCACAAACTTTCATAACTACATTTATGGTAGACATATTCTTGTTTATACAGATGCTCTAGCATCCATAATGAAGAAAGGCATTGCTGAGGTAAGTTCCCCTAGATTACAAAGAATGAATGTCAAGCTTCTCAAATATGATATAGATGTTCAATACAAACCAGGTAAGGAAATGCTGATTGCAGATTTGCTCTCGAGGAATTTTATCAAAGATGATCCCAAGGATGACAAGTTCTTAACAGAAATAGTCCACTCTATTAATGTGACTGACGAAAGGTTAGCAGACTTTCAAAATGAAACTGAAAAGATGTTGAATTAAGAAGATTAAAAGACATGTGCTTGACAGCATTATGGAATAACAAAAACACAGCAAAGAGCCAAAACAATATTGTACTGAGCAAATATCAACAGCGATAATAAAACATTTATACACAAGTGTGTTATAGCTGTGAAAGACTGCAAAAAAAATAATACAGAGGAGCCTTTGATCTTAAGAGATTTGCCTGACCTACCATTTCAAAGATTAGCAAGTGGACTATTTGTCAAAATGATAAGAGGTGATTCATTTGGAAAATAAAAATTCCAAGTCTGTAATTAAAGTTTTTAAATCTGTTTTCTGCACACATGAAATACCACTAGAGGTTGTTGCAGATAATATGCCATTCAGTTCGTTTGAGTGTAGGAAGTTTGCAAAAGACTGGAACTTCAATTTCATTACGTCAAGTCCTTTTAATCCGAGATCTGATGGGCTTGCAGAAAGGGCAGCCCAAATACCAAAACATTTGTTCCGAAAGTGTAATAGTCTAGAAATTGCTTTATTGGACTATAAAAATACCCAATTTCTGGATCTAACAAGTCGCCAGCCCAACTTTTGAATAACAGGCACAGATTGCGAGAAAGAGAAGGAAAAGATGGAAAATAAAAGGCAATTATATAAACATTATTATGACAGAACCACAGCCAGAAGGGATGATTTTCAAGCAGGAGACAACGCGGTGGTGAAAAAAAAAGCAATGGACACCTGCCAAAGTTGTAAAAAAGCTGCTAGAGCCTAGCTCCTATATTGTGGAAAAAGGAAATGGTAAAAAAGTACGGCGAAACAATTTTGATTTAAGACCCTCCTTAAATGAACCTATGATAAGACCTAATGGTGTACCAGAAGATCGACCTATTCCTATGACTAATTTAAGAGGTAAGGAAACTTTAAATCACAGCTCCAAAACCTTGTCTCATGTTACACCGACACATAGACAGACAAAAAGCAAACGGCTTGTGAAAGTACTTTTGCACTTCAAAGATTTTGAAGTGTACTGATTGGTTTAACATTTCATTATTATTAGACAGAAGTTTACCTTTTATCATTAGACAGTAGTTTACCCAAGTAGGTTTTGATAATTTTATATGCAATGTTTTAGGTTTTGGAGTATTTTCTAATGTGGTGTAGGTGATGTTTGTGCTATTCCTAATTTGGTTTGGGTACGCACTGGTAAGCTAAGTATTTAGTTGAGTTGGTAAAGCTACTTTGTTGAGGGGAAAGATGTAATAAGTATTGCCACATGTTGTCAACGAACACTACCTGCCTATTGAGAACCTAACAATAGACACAATGAGAAAAGCCAGAGAAAAAGTTAATAATTGATAATTGAATGTCACAAAATAATCAATAAACGCCAGAGTTAATCAAGTACTCAAAAACCGATTGTGTTTGATATTATTACAGTCCAGTAAGTGAATGTAAATGTGTTGCGTTTGGGTCGCGTCTGGTCGTCTGGGTCTCCGAATTCGACTATCACCGACAGATGGTCGGAGGATAGTTCATGTAGTACTCGTGGTTGTGAAATCACCCCAGTCAGTGTTTTTGGCGTTATAGTCTCCACCGAGAAGCATTGGTAGGTTGGGATCTTGGAAAAGGGCATCAAGATGGGCATCCGTGAGATCAAGGTTTGGGGCTGCGTAGATGGAGACCGCTAGTAGCGTCCGGCCTCTTGTTTGTAACGCAGCGAAGGTGCCTTCAAGTCATGTTGTTGAGTTTGAGACCTCGTGGTGTTTAATGAGTCTCTTGACAGCGATGAGGGTCCCACTGCCTCTGCCGCCTCTGTCTTGACGGCTCACCACGTATAGTTTTGTAGGGAGAAACGGTCTGCAGGTTTGAGTTGCGTTTCTTGGAGCAGGAGAACATCAACCCGATGTTCCTCTGCTTGATTGAACCGTAATTCCAGGTTGCGATGCGTAAAAAATATGGTGCAGTAGGGTGTTCAACCATTCAGTTTTTTGTTCTAGGATTGTGGCAAGGCGTTCAGATATTGCTGAATGGAATTCATTTTATTCATTTGACGCATTAGGGATTCCAATGATAGAGATTGTTGTTGTTATTGGCTATGGTGTTGCTGGGTACTGGTTGCTGCATTGCAGGTAAAGAAGCTTTACCTATAATATCTATAAGCTGTATAATGCCATTCCTCCTTCTTTAAAAGCCTTGAAACCCTCAATTTTTAAAAGGAAGTTAAAACAAGAAATATTTTGTCGATAAATGCAAGCAGTTGATTTGCGTTCCGCTCGGAATGTTTATTTTTAATGAGATTTTTCAGAGCAATATTGTTT